AAAAAAAAACGACAAAACAAGATTGTTACATAAATTTCCAAAAATTTGGAGCGAGAAATCGAACCGAGAAATGTTCACGAAGTTGTCATCTCAACAGCCGCAAGCATCGTAATAACTTGGACGAGAAATGAGTCATCGTTACACTAGCGCGCAACGATTTATAATACAACATGTGTCGCGTCTAACCGAAAAATTTCATTTGTCGTTGAATTTTTCGCGACTTAACTTGGCCAGAGAAACAACCGTTTCGTGTATTATGAGCCGGGCGGTAATTTCATTAATGAATTCATCCCAATTTTCGTGGCGAGCTCGCGCATTTGTCCCTGTCCTCCGAATCAACCGGCCCTTTACATCCCCCGGGGAGAAATTCCAGCGGACTGTCACTTTGTAATCAGAATCGCGAACGCGCAGGTTCCTTTAGACAGGAACTCCCTTAAATCAGACCATTTCTCTCGGCGACTGTTTCCTGCAACCCCGTACCGGGTTCGTTTCGAACGGTGGCCATAAAACGGTGGCGAATTACAAGACGGAGAGCCGAATTTCACGACGTTCGAGTCGTCGTTCTCTGGTGAGGATTTAGTGGAGTGTCGAACGGAAGCGACAAAACACCGCAGGGGGAAATTAATTAATTAATTATTTTCTTTTGTTTATTTTTATTATTATTTAAAGTCGCTAATAACCCACTTGTGGAGGAGCTGAATCTTGCAATTTATTATAAAGGTGAAAGAAAGGTGTCTAGACGAGAAAATGGAAGAGGAGTGGAAACCATGAGGAGAATCTTGGAGACGAGGGGAAAAAAAGAAGAATACAAAGGGCAATGAATATTTTAACACGAATTTAACGAAAACCAAAGAATAGCCAAAGAAAGAAAGTAGCGATTAAAATAGACATGCCAAAATCTATCACTGAGTTTAAAATTTATTGTTTATTGTTTATAGCTCATAGTTTAATTTTTAGTGGTAAGAAAATTTACGACTTGCAGTTGAAGGTATTTTAAGGTAGTCTAAGTCAACCGGAAGCCATCCTTAAGCCGCAAGGCAAGAGGACTACGTATAATAATAATATAAAGGAAAGTGTATCAATTTTAGGACCGATTCTGTTGTATATTTCCTAATAATAATATAAATAATAATATAAATATAAATAATAATATAAAGGAAAGTGTATCAATTTTAGGACCGATTCTGTTGTATATTTCCTCCACTGAACGATAATACGTTCCACTATCAATTGGACTTTGCACAAATCATAAATTGGGGGGTCTTCTTTGTTGAGGAGATACTGGTGGGAATTGATTATTATTTATGAATTATTGTGGAAAAGAGATTTGAAGAGGGAATTGAATTTTGTTTCACGTTCCTGTCTTTCGCAATTTTTTCTCCTTTTTTGTGAAATATTAAAAACATATCTTTCGAAACAGCGATGTCAAAGCGGAGCAGAGGTTCGAAAAGGGTGGACTTCGAATTTCGCGACGTTTCGCTCTTTGTCCTGGTGGAAGTTTCGTGAAATATCGACAGATTTCGTTTCGAATAGAAAACAGCGGCGAGGGAATTGTTACAGACGAAAGATTTGAAAAAGAAGGAATGAAAAAAGGAAAGCAGATTTTGGCTTTCGGTGATTCTTCTGGAATATTGAAAATTGTTTTGCACGGAAAGCGTTTAAATTGATTCTTTATCTAACTCAAGTCTCTTTCAAATTACGTTATCGATAAAGAATTTTCGTTACATTTATCAAAGAAAAAAAAATTTGAAAATTTGGCTACTCGTAAAGTAGATTTTATTATTTTAAAAGAATTTTTCGTACAGACAGGATTGTTTCACCGTTATAAGACAAAATTGATATTTCAAGTAGCGATAAAACAATATTGAATTATATTTTATAGCGGATTATCCTTGTTTTATCGACAGAGTTCGCTGGTCTTACTAGTTAACATTTTATGATAGTTTGTCAGAGATTGAGCAGGACAGTTTGGACAACTTTTGCATGATAAATAGTCGCGCTTAAGATCAAAGTTACTTGCTAACGTCTCGAGACACGAATGGATTATACGTTTTGTCTAATAAGAAAATGATACATGATGGCAATTCTACTAGCTAATTCCACTTAGATAGCATGTAACATGTAACTCGTAATTTGTGCATGACCTAAGGAGACAGTAGCAACCAAGCTAAACTTCTGTTTAATTCTGATCCGTAATATAGTGACCAAATTACGTAATATAGCTACCAGAATTTGTTAATTTAGATAATTTACACTGAAAAGAAAGAGTCCGTTTAAAGAAAGTATCGCTGAATTTGGAGAAGAAGGAAATGGGAGAATTGATTTATCTCTTAAGATAAATTATCACGATAGTTTAGTGAAATTTTAATTTAATAGTCGGAAATTGAAAAGCTGATCAACTATTACGTATAGTTTTCTCATCTCTATATCAATTCCCTCGCGTAACTCGATCGCACGGTCTAATAGGCTTAGAGGCTACTAGAAAGCCTAAAGTCGGAAATGGAATCTTGTTAGAACGTTTATCTTGCTAAAGATTCTAATCACGAGGGTACGAGTACAAATATGAAACGTGCAAATGCAAATGCAAATTTCTCAACGTTTGTTTGGAAAAGGTGCAGAATCTCGTTGAAAGTAGCTCGCTCGAACATTTGTAAAATATTAATAAAATAACTGTACTTTTCAAATGTAATTTTATAAGATTAAATGTCGCGAGTAAACAGCGAAATTTCATCCAATTTTAAATTTTTACGAATGCAATCAAAAATATGGAACTCGAGCAGGAATTTTATTTTCCACCAGACATTAAAAATTATAAATACTCTACTTCTAATATTTTGTACTTTTGCACGTCTAATGCATCTTTTAATTCCTTCATCAAAAGATTTGATATTCGTTATTAAAATAAATTTGTACCCATTTTTGCTTAATTGTTGAATGATTAATTAACAACACAATCTATTATAATTACAATGTTACAAACGAATACCTTGACAGAGTACAACATTTCACTAATAATCGTAGTAACTCAATTCTCATTTGACAAACCTTAAACAATCCTCTCGCAGAAAATCAAAAATCATCATTCCTCAAATAAACGATTGACAATAAATTGTTAGAATCGTGCCAATTAAAATCGAACGTCTAGACACTTTATTAATCAAATAAAAATAAATTCATGGAAGATAAAGAACAACATGAACAACGGATAAAATGAATGGAATATAATTGAAGAGCCATCTCCAAATAAGAGTTTGCTGAAATCGTATCAACTCCAAAATCCAAAATTTAAGCACAAGCTCGATTAGACCATTGTCAATTAAACGAAATAACTGAAATACAGCTTTCTCCAAATAACAGATCACCGAAAACAATCGTAGCGATTGAAATCCAGAGTCTAGGGACTAAGCTCAAGATAGATCGTCAGCGGTTAAACGAATTAGGTAAATAAATTCATAAATTATACGAAGAAAATGGCGGATGAATCCTCGAAATTAGCGGGAAACATTTGGAAACAGGGAGCATTGCCATTAATTTGGACAGTTTTCCGGCGGTTGATGATCCAGATTCTCGACCCAATATTGCAGCGGAGAAGCCGCCAGCCTACCGGGCGGATCCATGTGCGGGCTAATTCGATTACGTATATACTCGGATCGTCTAGAACGGTATTATGGGATACGACTAGCACCAGGCGGCAAAATCTCGTTAGGACGCTCATCTCCCTATGGGGAATTGTTATCGTACTACCTATCGGTTGCCTGTGCTAAAATTCTGCGCCGCGAAATGAACGACAAACGCAATTATGTCGGCCAACGAAGAATATCATCCGCTGGAGCGTCTCGTTGCTGAGATGCACAAATAACGGTCTTAATTCTGTGTACGGATACAGAAATAGGATGCAGGCTACATCGGTGTGCGCGTTGCGAAAAGTAGCACGTTCCATTTGCTTGCTTACGAGAGGCCGGCAGGCTTCGCAATATTTGTCGCGAGAAGAATCACGTTTCAATTCGTCGCGTAGAGAGGCACGTTGTTTACGGGGAATTACAGAAGGTGACGATTGTCCTGGAAAATAAAAATTCAAGAAATTTCGTCGTGAATAATGGAAAAGGAAATATCAGTGTAGTAGAGTAAATTTCGAACGGCCATTGTTCCTTCAGGATCATCTCCACAGATGGATCTCTGGTTGATGAGAAAATTTTTCAATGTTTGAACTTTCACAGTTTTCGAGAGTAAAGAATCTTTACCTTTCTTTTATAAAGAATATATTTAAAAATATATTTAAAATATTATATTATAAAATATATTATCTTATAAAGAATATATTTAAAATATTATATTATAAAATATATAATCTTATAAAGAATATATTTAAAATATTATATTGTAAAATATATAATCTTATAAAGAATATATTTAAAATATTATATTGTAAAATATATAATCTTATAAAGAATATATTTAAAATATTATATTGTAAAATATATAATCTTATAAAGAATATATTTAAAATATTATATTGTAAAATATATAATCTTATAAAGAATATATTTAAAATATTATATTGTAAAATATATAATCTTATAAAGAATATATTTAAAATNATATATTTAAAAAAAAAAAAAAAAAGAAACTCGAGATTCTCAAAGCTTTATGCTCTAAAACAACGCCAAGTAAAGACTGCTATACGATTTTTTCTGACGAAGTTATAACAGTCGACAACTTTTCGTCGTTAATAGTTCAGTTACTCTGTTCGTTGTATTTATCATTTAAAAAAAAAAAGACTGGTAAGAGAGAACGTGCTACCTTTCGTATTCGCGCGTAAGATTCCCGTGCCGTTTCGCGAACCACGAAAATCCCGCACGGAACGCAAGAATCGTGAAGCAACCGAAGTACAATGTATTACAGGGCAGAAGTGGATGTTCGCAGTGAAAAGTGTCTGCCGCGGGGCTTAACCGGCAAATCCAACTTCCTGTTAAATCACCCGTACGGATTAAACCACTTACCAATACAAGTTCCGTCGGGGGTTGCCTCGTAGCCTGGCAGGCACGTGATCGACAAGCTGTCCAGTATCGGTTGATCCTTCAACTCCATTGGCTCGGCGCATCGATAAGATCCTGGCGTATTGATGCAACCATAGCGGCACATTTCCGTTTGCAAATCTGGTTGGGCACATTCGTCCACGTCTGGAAAAGAAATGTTTGAAATTTTTTTTTTTTGATCCTCTATCTTTCTTCGAGCTGGTCGAATTTTGTTTCGTGGAAAAATATCTGATTCTTGATGGAATTATATAAATTGAGATTTCTGGCGGGCTTTTTGTAGAAATATCCAAGTGTTAAGATTGAAAGTAACCGAAGATTTAATTTTAATAGTTAATATTTAATTCATGTATATTTCTTGTTTGTACAAATAGTCAAAATTCACATTCGAATAATCGAAATTTTTTTAATCGAAAATGTTTTTTTTTTTCTATTTAATTAAGTCTCCGTGCAATTGGAATGACGTTCAAAACTTCTTTTCAATAAATGGAATCTCTTATTATATTGGAATCTCTTTAATGTTTTTACTTCTATCGTAAATTTTTGAGATGGCAACGATGCTCTTCGATACACTCTTCAGATATGAAACTTTTATGTATTTCAGTAAAGCCTCTTATAGATGAAAAAGAGGATATTTCATGCGACTGCACTGCACTGTACAATGGGAAATAAAAAAGTAACCATTATCCTTTTACATGCGACAATGCAATAAATTTTTGTGTTTTCTATTCGAACATTTCTTTTGCATTTCACGTTTCAGGAAAGTCAAGCTTGTATAACAGAGCTTGCATAATAACCAGAAAATAAATAAATTCTGCTTCACTAAACAATAAATTAAAAAGCTACAGATATTTTACAAATTTTTACGTTCGAATTTTTGCATCCATTAGAATTCTAGAATTACAACTAAATATACAGGACGATTGATGATACGTTCGTTCGAATAAATAATCGAGAAGACAAGAAGCACTTTGGACAACGTGTTCTTAATTAACAAAAAAACCTCTTCCACTAGTACCTTGTACACTTTTAACAACACTTTAAGCAACAGTGTGTTCGATAAAAAGAAAACAGGAAAAAAGTGCGATTAAAACGCAAATGAAAGGAATATGACGATTCATACCACACACATCTTCGATTCCTCGAGGAGGAAATTCTATTACCTTGACAAGTCTTCCAGTCGTCCTCTAGGATGAAGCCATCAGGACAGAGACAAAACACTCGTCCCATCGTGGAGAGACAGGTGTGAGAGCATCCGGCGTTGTTGACGCTGCAGGGACCTGCGTCCTGACACGTGTGGTTGTCGGGTGACAGGACAGTGTCCTGTAGACCGTCGCAGGAACATTCATACCCGCCTATGGTGTTCCGGCACGTATCCTGACAAGGTCCGTGCCCATTGTTTAATAGGCACTCGTTGATGTCTACGTGACCAAAGCGTGATCGAGTAATTTTAATTCCACATGTCGAGTTTTATTTCACACATCGAGTTTGAATTGAATTGAATTGAATGACGTGGATGTTGGAGTAGTTTATGATTTGGTTAATTATGACTAATATACGAGGGAATGAAAAGTGGTGTAAATTTAATTCTGGCAATTAGTCAGAATTGTTCGTACAGAGAATAACGTAGAATTCTCTTTTCACTGCTGTAAAAATTACAACTACCGAGCCAATTGAAATGGTTAATATCAGATCTTTTACACACAGATTTGTATTATTTATAATTTTCGAAAGCATGCAACTATTTTCATAAAATTTCACTGATAATAATGGAGATTTTTCTGACACTTCACGATATTTCTCTCAGCAGAGTCTATTAAATTAATTGTTAATACAATATTCACTAAAATGTCATTTACACCACCGTTCCGTTAATATAAATGAAAATAGAAAAGAAGATGAATTAATCGACATAAAATAAAAAAGAAACAAGATATAAAATAATAAATTATCAAATTATAATCGAACAGAATATTGAATTCAAAGAAACAAGAATAATATTTCTAATGACATTTCTAATATTTCCAAGCAAATGAGAAACAGACGATCGAACAATTTCAACGATGGTCGATCGATCGGACAGCATAGGCTTTTTACCATCGTGGTTACACTTGTTGCTTTTTCAAAGAGAGAGATATTGAGAGAGAAAGAGAGGAGGAGAGAGGGAGAGAGGGATATGTTCGTTTCACGGTGTATGTATATTCCGATGCAAATAACTCACCCCTGCACGTGAATCTGTCCTCGTCGAGTTTCATCCCTTTTGGACACTCACAACGAAAGGATCCCGGGGTGTTCACACATTTATGTTCACAACCTCCCTTGTTATCCTTGCATTCGTTCACATCTGAATTTCAACGAGTACGTGTAATTTCTGGAATTTGGCTAACTTCCGCGACATGCTACAAGTTTCTGGTTTCGTTTTGTCACATCGATAATCCATCATGAGTGTAATAATGCTTTAACACACACTTAGGTAGACACACATCGTCTTTGCATTACCTTTACGTTCTATATTGTGCTCCTTCGTAAGAGAGCTGAGAGTTAGTTTTAATTGAACAATGAAATATGAAGAACAATTCAATACTGTTAGATTTTAATGATAAAAAAAATTCAATGCTGATAAAATACCAATATCAAAGAAACTTTTTACAGAAAATTTCATGACTTTCAATTTTATCATTTTGAAGGAAATAATCGTTTCCAAAAATAATCGTTTTCAGTTCAAGTAAGAGAACAGATTCTGATAACACTTTTGTTATGAAAATTATTTCCTAATTTTTATTTAAATATAAACTTTCTCAAAAACTCAATGTCATCCGCGTGAGATGAAACAATGAGAGCTCAAACGAGATTTTGAAAGATAATGCAAAAATCCTGGAGTTTTAGCGAATAATATGTAAATATACTGATTCTCGTTGATAGGAACAAGGTTTTAAAAGTTTTTCATTCCACTCCTCGTATTTCTTGTTCCTCCAATGTATTCCATTCGTGCAATCTATTCTTCTATTTTTTACACGTATATATACACCTCGTGGAATAGAGTGAAGCTTTTGTTTTACCAGGCTCGGTTAAGCTGGACTTTTAACCAATTCGGATTACCTCTCTTTACGATTCGTCTAGATTAACGATATTTCCCCCGTTCGGTAGAAGCTAATTTTTCCAAGAGCCCGTTAATTCGACTTTTCGCTTGATTTAAACTACTTTCTCGTTCAACTTAAATTAACGAAGTTTTATTAAATTTGCGTTTTCCTACGCTGCCAACGGAATTTTCATTCAGAAATTTTTCGTTCTCGTTTACATTCAATTGTTCCCAATTATGATTTATCCAACGAAGCTTCGCCGCGAAGGATTTTTATTTAAAAAATTTGTCCACGTTACTACTTCGTCTTTCCATTTTTTTTTTTTTTTTCCCCACGTTCTTAATATAATCCTCAACCCAGAATTTCTTAATGCTATTTGTGTTCAAAGAAATTTCATTTCAAAAGAGATGTTTCAAAGAAATTTCACGAAGAGAAATATTCTAGTTTAAGAAAAAAATTTGTCCCCCGATTTTTGTATCTCTGGTATCATTTTCGGCCCATAATTTTTAATTACACATTTCAATAACTATCTTTAAATAAGTTCCACCAAAGAAGAACATTTCAAAAATTTGTTCACCTTATTCCTCGACTTCCCTCTTCCCTTTCAATACAATTTTCTACCCAGACTTCTTTAATCTCGTTTTCGTTTAACTATCCCGAGAATCCCGATGATTACTTGAAATTATTTCCTAGAAAGAATATTATTCCATGATTTAAGAAAATTCATCCGCGATCCTTCTTCTCGAGCGTGATTAATACCGAGAGGCAGCTTGTAAATCCATTTTTAAAATGAGAATCTTGGCAATAAACCGGAGGAGGAACACGGAGAAAGAGATGAAAGCCGGAGCAACGTTTCCGATATCCGGGATCCGTCCCTTTCGTTTCAAAATGCTCAAACGAACTTCGGAATAAAATTTTATAGCGGTGCTCTTCAGTTTTATGAGGAACGAGCGTCGATACACCTCGCGGACGAGCGAGCAACAACCAAGTAAGTACTTCTGAAACGAAATCGTTGATGTTTTAATACGGACAGGAAGGACTTGTCTCCTGCAGAACGCGGAAACTGTCAATATTTCAACGAGTATCCTGTCGATATTTCATCTCGAGAAATTTCTTTTTCACCGACCTGACAGCTCGTCTTCCGAGGGAAAACGGTATCGTTTCTCTGTTTTACTATTCGTGTTCCTTTAAAAGAGAGAGACAGAGAGCGAGAGAGAGAGAGAGAGAGAGAAGGAGAGGACAGAAAGTAAAAACACGAGAAAAATCTTCGACTCGACGAACTATCAAAATATTATTAAACGGCGAAACGTTATGCTAATTTTACGACACGTCGACGTTGAAAGTATTTTATGTACCTCGCGCGAGTAACGATCCTATAAAATTTGCTTCTGAAAATATTATGAGGATTACACCTGATCGATGGAATAAAATTATAGTAAAATACGAAAATTAAAAATTAAATGAATGAAAGGTAGGAAAACGTCCTAGTTTCTGTTTTGTAGGATTGAAAAAATATTTTAACACTTGATTGATCACGTCGTTATGCGTGCAATGCATACGTGTACTTTGACAAGACAAGTCAAAAACAAAATCAATGGCAAATAGTGAAAATATTTACATACGCAACGCTGAATACGAAGATGAATGTCAATGATAGTGTCTGGTTTATATGATTCACAATGTGCAACAGACGTAAATACAGAATTAATTTCTAAAATATTAAAATATAAATAACTTCTGTTTAAAATGATAATATCTCAATTGTATTTGTTACACTTGAAATACGAAATATTTCCAAATATTGGATATTGAGTAGTTTAATTGTAATCGAATGTCCGTTACCAACCAAGTACATTATACAATAATATCATTTTAATGCAACAGCATAAACGTGATCAATTAAGTATTATATGTAGACTGCGGATATTTATAAATTTACGACTAGTCTGCAGATACTTATTCCGCAATTCATGTGAAATTTCAACGTGCACAGAATGAGCGCAACATTCAAAAATGCATAAAATATCCATGGAAAAAATCCCAATCCATAGTATAAATTTACGTTCACTCGTTGTTTAAAAATATGTTTCCTTCGTCCAACGATCAATAAATTTGTTTTCGTTCAAATTCACCTTTACATCGTAATGTAAATAATATTTTGCTCGCGCAAGATATTTTGTGAAATGAAATAGCAATATAACAAATAGATACTAAATAAATCTGACAATATAAAATATATGAAACAGCAGAGACAAAATACTTCGTTTGGAAAATAAAACATTTCTTTCGTTCGAATTTCAATCTTCGAATTCTCTTCGTACGCAAAAACATATGAATCTACATATGTAAATATCTGCAAACTAATTGTACGGTATTCAAATGACAAGTAAACAAGTTGATAGCATAACTTACCGATACATTTATCGCCGTCCAGTTGAAAACCTTTGTAACACGAACAGACTGGCCTGCCGTCGACTTCTTTGCAAATGTGGTCGCACGAAGCCTCGATGCACGCACCTTCAAAATTCGCTTTGATCTTGCACTTTGGTAGTTGTCCTATCCATTGGCGATTTCTGCAAAGCAGTCTGGTCGTTGTGCTCACCATGTAATATCCAGGAGCACATTCGTAATCGGCTTCCAAGTATTCGTGACCTGGTACCGACGATCTTGAGGGAAACAGCAATGACAAATACTTTTAGAACTTTGCAAAGATAGTGTTATTTTATAATGTCAATTTGTTATTTATTTTAATGGTCAGTGATAACATATAAATATCATGATATTTTAATATATATTACATTAATATTTTTATATAAATATAATATTTATATACTATAGAAGCAGCATATAAATATCATGATATTTTGATATATATTACATTAATATTTTTATATAAATATAATATTTATATACTATATAAATATTATATAGAAGGTTATTATATAAAAGGTATACTATATAAATATTATATAGAAGCAGCATTATTCAGAATGAAGACTGAAGAATTTTCGTTAAATCTCTACTATTTTGAAAAATATTAATACAATATAATTATTAATATAATATATATTAATATAATATACTATTGATAAATATAATATATATTATATAATATATATTAATATAATATATTATTGATAAAATATAAACCCAGAAAGCATATCGCTTCTTTGCGACGAAAATGTGATTTTTCGATTTATTACGATTAGAAAAATTTTGCAGAGATGGCCTTTTATATGGTAAAAAGGAATAATGTTGCTCTCCTTTTACTCAAACTTGAAACGCTACAAGAACGGTGCTTAAAATCTGCATTTTAAAATTTCGTTATTAATAATGAAAGAGTCAGGGCAAATGATAAACCGCCTCATTTTTGATGAACCTAAATAAACTGGATTTTGTTTTCCTCATTACCCCAAAAAGAGCGGGAGGGAAACTTGAAAAGCTCGTAGCCGGGAAAGTAATATACAAGAGAGATTACGTAGCAAACTTTTGTTTGTATTTGGTTGCCATGAAAATTAGTTCCCTGATTAGTTACAAAATACATTATTGATTTTAGAAATTTCTAACTCTTGCTACGTTAACTTCAAAAATTTACACTGCTGGTAGACATACGATTACTAATCAATCCTTTCCAACATGGTGATGTAGAGTCTACACGAAAGAGTTCATGATCCGTTATAAACTCGATATAACGAGACATGTTATAAGTAATACGATATAACAAAAACTACTATTACGAAACTACGAGATGAAGTGAAAATGCGGGAACTATATATTTATCGTAGAAATAAACGAGGAATTTGTAGAATATATTTAAGTAAAACATAAACGCGGAAAAATTTTAGAATAAATAATATAAGTGAAAAATGGCAAAATAAAGGTATTTAAAAGAGCACGAAATAAAATAATAACGAAGGCATCTGTATATACACTTATTTAGAAAAAAAAAAAACTATATTACGGACCGTAAAACAGGTAGATTTAAATCCACGTGATATTCCCTCTCTCTTTGTACCCCGCCATTATTCTTCCAATGTCATTCCTAATATCTTTCCAAACTTTTGACGTTCCCTTACTCCTTTTGATTCAACATTCGCTCGAATCAAGATTTACTCGCCATTACAGTCACTTCTCCCGCTTTCACCGTCTTTTTATATTTTACTACGCTGTCAGGTAATTCCGGCACGTCGAACCATTGAAAAGTTCACAGCCTCCCCTCCCCCGTGATCCGAAACTTTTCTGGTTCTCCTATAATCCCTGGGCTACGAACTTGTCCGAGTAATTCAGTTTTCTGATGAAAAGGGGGGAAATTTCACAAGCGGCAATAGAGGGACACGTTCCCACGGCGTGGCGCAGAGGCGTGTGTTGGATTAAAGCGGCGAGAGAGCCTGCCTTTGAAAAGAACCGTTCGTTCTGGCCGAAAGAAGAAGGTTCGTTTTCAAATGGAACAAACAGCAAGAACAGCAATTATCGACCTTTCGACTAAATTCTCCGAAACCGGCGGGAAAAGAAGACGCGCGTATACATACATACGTAGCGTACGTATTTCCTTGAAGATTTTGTACGAAATGCTCGGGAACGGAACGTTCGTTTCACGTGGCTGATAAGAGCCGCGCGAGGTTCGCGAGTCACGTTTTCCTTTCAACCATCCGAGAAAGTTTCAGCACTTTGAAAAATTGAAAATGTTTGGAAGTTCGTTACGTACTTGCACCCACGCTCAAGAGCATCCAGACACTTGCTCCAGACCTTTGACGAGCAGGTTATAAAGATTCCTTTCAATATGAGAAATTAACGCAGAAGCAAAGAAATAATTAATAAAAGTTTTAGTTTCTTTTAATAGTGAGAAAAAATTTCCTTCTCGTTGTAAAATTACGTACGAAAGCAAAGTATTTCATTTATTTATTGTTACTGCTACGTGTAGCTGTATGTGTACAAATTTATGTTGAACTACTGAAATTTAGAACATTTGATTTTACTTTGTAGTTCACGTTCTTCGTGATATTTAGGGGATTAGCAATAAAATTCAATTCTAAAATTAAGTAATTTAATTGTAAATTGTTACCATCCCCGATAGCTTTACGATACCTATGTTGAGAGTTAAATTGAATTTTGGGAGTCAAATTGATTTAATCTGCAATTTAAAACGAACGTTAATTTTGGATCCTTGAAGTAGTATTATACCGTACTCGTGAATAATAATCAAACTGGGTCAATATTTCAATTTAATTACACGATTGCCACTGTTGTACTAATGTAACAATTATTGTTAATTAATGTGTGTAAAATCAATTTAACAAACGATCCGTTGCAAAGACATTTAGTTAATCAAACCGCGTAGAATCTGTTGTAAATCAATTTAATTATTATTAACTCTCGCTTTCAATATATGTTCAATATGTTATTGATTTTATGCATACGTACACGTGTCCCTTAAACAAACGACGTTGCCAATAACGCATTTAAGCTTTCATTTAAGTTTTCGTTTAAATAAATATTAACAAAGACAGATAAACTATAACAATTTTAAAAAAAGGAACTATAAAACTATACCAAAAGAGAAAAGAAAAATACAACTTTAAATCTAATTTCATTGATCGTTCAAATTATTTCCGGACACACGAAACAAAAATATTAGATTCGCGAAGTCTATATTCTAATTATTTGCTAACCAACAATAACACTAACCATCAACCAAACTCGATCGATCGAATCATATTCACTCAAGTTATTTACTAACTTGAAGAAAAACATCGGATGCAAAAAAAAAAAACCCGCATTAATTATTGCCATTCTTGTTCCTGTTCGGAGCACCGGCGAGCATAATGCGGCGCGCAAGTTTCACAAACGCGTGGAACATTCATCGTCATAAAGGTAGGGAAATCGCATCGGCTGAAACCGGCTACCTGGCCGGCCGACGTTCGAGATGAGCTGAATTATTCATGCTAAAAGCCACTTACTTTACATATTTGATCAGTGCATGCCGGGCGAGGGGCGCCGGCACGAACGTCCCGTTTATGCATGATAAATCCCCTTTCGTATCGTCCTCGTACGCAGCGGTGCTGCTCGCCGTTTCCGCGTCCTTCTTTCCACCAAGTCGGTCCAACTCTGCCCTGTCGATTATAGGTTTCCCATGAAAATGCGATCCGCCGGCTCTCCTCCGCTCGGCGTCCTCTCGCCTCGGTAGCATCGATAGCTTCAAACTCGACGTCATGTACGCGTTGTAATCCTTCAGGGTACGTGCCAGCACCTCGTTCTCCAAATCCAAAATAGGCAGGTCCTCCTCGGTCCGCGAGTAGCCCAACATTTTGTCGGCGTCGTACCTAGAGTTGCCTCTAGGTTTCATCTCGTTCGCGCTACCACCGCTGACACTGCTCTCCTTGCGTTCCGTGTTCCTACGAGTGGATTTCGGCACGGAACTACCAAGGATACGATTCTCCAAGCTAGCTGGGTCCTCCATCTGCGTCCGCGAGATCTCTTTCTCCAGCTGCTTGGAGAACTCTCTCTCGACCGTATCCTCGTACATCTTATAGCGTGAGGTGGTCTGCGAGGTGGACTGTTTCCCGGCCTCGGTGGTTAATTGATCCTGAAGATCGAACGGCGAGGTAACGTCAGAACTGTTCGAGGGAGCGCGGTTGTCCGGCGAGTCGTAGCTGGAGACGTTGTCCTCCGCCACATGGCCATCGATCTTGCCGAGCAGCAACGCGGCTGGCGCATCGTTCATTCTTCTCTTGAACTTGGACGTTCTACGCGACTCGTAATTCTTCTCGCCGTTCTGGCCGGGCCTCTTCCTTCCGCGCTTTCGCTCGCGGTTCTTTCTCCTCCTGCGACGCTCCGCGCGATACCGTCTTGCCGCGCTGTCCTTCGATCTTTTCGCTTGGCCGCCCCCTCGTTTCCCCCTGATCTCGTTCTCGCACACCTCCGGCGTGTTCTCACGCTGTCGATCCACGTCGGAGCTCCTCGAATCTTTGTTCCTGCGACGTTTCTTGCGCGATTTGTCGCTAACGTCTCCCCTTCGGCGGCCGATCGACGTTGACACGGCTGGAACGAGAGTTCACGCGTGAGGAATGTGCCGTTAATTGTCAATTTTGCTTTTGTTAACGTTTAGGTTTAATTTCTTTGGAGTTTGATTCTAGTGATGACATAATATTGGCAGTTTAAATCTAATGAAACGTTTTAATTGTAAATTTCTAAATCGCTTCGCTAGTTACGAAATTAAAATATATACTAATTTATTTACGAAGTAAACATAACACAAAGTTAAGGTTCTCCTCTTTATAATTAAATTTCTTTAAAATTGTTTTAAATTTAAAAAAAAAAAATGTTTATACATGGATGAATGAATGAATTATCGATTTTCTGAATCCTCGGAATCCATTTATTATGCCAAAAACTATATGAATCATGTTAATAATCGTATATAAAGCTGCTGTATAAACTTTCCCCTTTCTGCAGGTAAAGAGAATTTTTCAAGAAATATCACCTGCAGTCTGTTTATTTTTCCATCCTTCATTTATGGCACGCAAGCTACACGATTATACCTGGCTGTGATTTAAAAAGCAAACGTATTTACTCACTGACATTCAAACCAGGCCGAAGCGATGAGTTGGAGGCACCTTCTGGTGGAACGAGGACCTTGTCCCTATTTCCGTCGGCCCGAGGCGCTGTTTCCGCTTCCGTCTCCGGTACCTCTGCCGCGTTTCGAGACGAGAGGGAGCTGCCATCCTCATCGAGCGCCTTTTTACCCTCGAGAGACGCATCCCAGCTAATGGACAACACAGCCAACCGTTCTGCTTTTTTTATCTTTCTCTCTCTTAATACCTTTATGTCTTTCTTTCGCGATAAAATGAAAGACTGTGTACTTGGCAATGCTGGCCCTTCTCCCTTTGGCATGCATAATGTCCTGAATGAATCTCTTTGATATTTCTATTGTAAATGGATGGGATTCTGTGGAATCAGCGGAAAGTGTTTTGATTACGAGGTAATCACCCTGAATCGTTCAGGAATATATTGTGAATTTTTTCTTACAGGTAATTATTAAATGAAGAATTCCATTTTTTCTTTTTTTCTTTTGAGATGTGCAAATGTGACTTTTTTCTTTTGTGAATTTTTCTTACAGGTAATTATTAAATGAAGAATTCCATTTTTTTTCTTTTTTTTTTTTCTTTTGAGATGTGCAAATGTGACTTTAATCTTCGTTTCTTTCAAATCAAATTGTTAAAAAGTATAACAGAATAATTCACCAGTTTCAAAACCTTTGATTGGTCATCACAAAAATGAAACATTCTTATTATAATTTATAAAATAGAAGTGTATTATTTAATTATATGAAATTGGTTTTTATTAAGTAAGAATATAGAATTGGTAGAATATTTTATTAAAATAATAACTATTTTTGTAAATCCGCATGCTACATTTTAAATAATACATTTCCATTTGTAAATCAATGGGTATTCTCCACATCAGATGTTCTAATTTCTTGCAATGATTTTTCTAACAATTCAATTTAAAGAAGAATTTCAATATAAAATTAAAAATCACTTCTATACGTCTTAGAAACATTTCCATTTAATAATTGCCTATGAGAAAAATTCGTAGTATATTTTTGGCCTCCTTCAGTCCAACGTGTAAAACAAATTGAATAAAAGTTTCTATGATGGTGTATAAACGATCAATCGAGCGTTTATATCATAGATATATATCATCATGATCAAAAACAATTCACAAACAGGAATACCCAATACAAGCGGCGAAAAAATCAATTTTTCACTGTGGAATGCACTTTTATTGATGAACTATAACGCTCGAGGGCTTGAAATTTAAATTTAATCAATCAAATTTTTTACACACCGCAAACCACTCGAAGATTACTTTTATCGCTTTCACGAATTTTCTCGTGATTTCAGTAATTTACTTTTTCTTTTTCTTACTATGAATTTGAAAGTAAATTACTGTTATTTAAAATTTGTTATAAAAACTGTTATTTAAAATTTTTTAAAAGTAATCGTCCCTCTTCTACACATATATCGCGATGTGGAAGACATCTTGTATGATCAGACTGACAATTTCTTTTTTTTCATTATACCTCTTAGAGCATCTTACATCATATATAATATTACACGCGACAAGCATACTCCACCAAAAAAAACACGTTTTACCACGTTAATCGCAGAAGATTAACAAAACAGATCAAACTTATTGTTAAATCAAGTTTTGCTTGTAAAATTGTACAAAATATTTAATAATATACGCACTATTTATTACAATCACATTTTTCTCATAAACTATTCTGTTATTAAAAATACTATATTTTTTATAATTACGAGTTAATAAAATATATATATATATACGAATTACAAAAATTCGTCTTCTTCCATGAAGCGAATCTAGATTAATCTCGCTAGGATGTACAAAAATCTCAATTATCATTTCAACAGAGAATGGTAATCAAACGATCTGATTGCATGCATAATTTCATACAAAACCACCGCGCGCGCTCTCAAAGAGTCAGAGCCATTCCAACTATCGTAATAACGACAAACGAACTGTAACCACGGTCGTTAAACATTCCACCAATTCTAATAAATGAAAATACCGCGAAAAGTTGGAATTCCTTTGGCAACAGTAAGAGACACGCGCGCGCGCGCGATTCCATCGTCCTGGGACCTTTTAGCCTCGGTAATTATAAGTCGTGCTGGCGTGTAATTGAGACGGACGTTCAACAGTGTGTGTGCGCGCGCGCGCGCGCTTTAGCCGAGGATTTCCACCACTACGGTTCGACTGTGTTACGTATCAATTAGAAAGTTCGAGTGTGTAATACCGGCGGTAATACGACCGCCCTTATTTCGTCTGCCATCGTAATTATCGGTTCTCCAGAGTCTGTTTGATCCTCGATGCCCACTCGGTAGACTAGGAACTTTGCGGTCCTCCGCCTCGACAACGATTTCCGGCGACGCGTTCGATCAGCAAGTTTATTGAATTCGCCGAGAGCGACTTGTTGCCAGGGTAACAAGAAACGTGAGACATCGTTCTCTACTTTTCCGCTGTTTCTCCCGTTTCTTTTTCCTTTTCACTTTTCTTTTCTTTTTTTTTTTTTTTCTTTCTTTTTTTTTTATGGTGGAGTAGCTTGTCGGTGTTAATTTTGAAATTTGCGGGGAAGAGAAGTTGAGCAGTACGCGAAAAGAAGTCACATTTTCTATCCTTTACTTCCTACTTGGTACACTTTCTAATTGAAATGCCGTCTGTTAATTAATATTAAGACATTAATTCTTAATAACAAAACTTTGTCAATTGTTTGAACAGTTTTTAAAAAGTGTCATCTTCGATCCTAATAGATTCTTTTCATTTTTACGACATGTATAGGATACTTTGTCTCTTTTACTCACAATGAAAATTATATTTATACAGGTTTCTCTTTTAGAGTGGAGGAAAGAAAATGAATGTCATGAAAATGGGACAAATGAAACGGAAGTTATTCGATTAATGTGTAACATGAAAGAAAACCGGGCAAACCACCAAATACACCATTATAAATTTCATATATTTTGAATGTGATCGTTACACTGCACACTTTTATGCAAATTTACATATATTTTTGCGAACGTAAGAAAAAAATGAATTAAACTGCGATTTGTTTTATCCATTTAAAAAAGATAATCAGATAATTCTATAAATAGAGAAGATGAAAAGTTAGCTGAAAAGTCTGTACATTACCAGAATTAGATAATCTACAGAAATAGATACCCTGCAACTACCCTACTTTCGAAAGGTTTAATGTCAAAGAGCTATAACACATGCGACCTTGAGAATATATCTGAAGACAAACTGTCTGGACTCGTAGCTAGGCGACCGCAAAAGATTGCGAGGCCGATTCTTTGAAATGATAATCGATCTGTCACGGTATTGTTAAAGATGGATCTCATCGTACTAAAGTTGAAAGGACGACAATCTATTCTCTTGGTAAGAAACTTCTAGCAAACAGGAATTAAAATATTTCGAATTAAGTCTGAATAAATGATTGAAATATTTCTATTTTTTAAGTCTAAAGTTCTAATATTTCTGAATTAAGTCTAAAAATAGATGTGTGTGTCGAAAATATTTCTGACGGTGGTGTATCGAAATGAAATTGTTTGAAAGGAATTTTAATATTAGTAATCAGCTGGAAAGTGTGTTCACTTGAATTGTTCAATTGACACTGCTCTGCAAACATAGCAGTCGACCTTGGTAATTAACGATCCAATTCGCTCATTAACTCTGGTGTCACAGGCACGCGTTACACATTCCAGAGGGAGATAGAGCCAATAATGGACCATGAAATTTACATAAATCACTGTGAATCCTTACATAAAAGAACATCGTTTTCGAGGAAACGTTTCCCAAGTTTTTTAACACAGAGTGTTACTTTGCAAAAATAATAATTTAAAAAAGAAAGAAGAACAGTTCCGACGAACTCTCGTTGAAAAAACTGTTTCAGAAAAACATTTTTCGTTACGTATAAATACGAAATAATAATTTCAAAAAAAAAAAAAAAAAAAGAGAACGACGCTCGATGTTGAAAATTCTTATGAAAAGAGCCTTTTCAGAAAAAAATCATTCTCTGTAATCTCGCAGCACAAAGTGCCACTCTACGAGACGACAATTCAAACAAAAAAAAAAACAAAAAAAAAAGGGAAAAGTGTATCTCTAACAGTGTCCAAACGATTGTTCGTCAATTTCATCGATCAAGCCCGATCGATGTCCTGCTTCGATTTCCTCGCAGCACAAAGCTGCTCGATAACCAGCACGTTCGATCGAACGGCATCAAATATGCATAAAGCACTTACACATACGACTGGTCCGCATCGTCAGCCTGCAGTTCGTCGCGCAGATCACCTATTTTCCTCGCGTCATCCCTGCTGCCCAACTGTTCCCGCGGATCCGCGTTCTGGCAGCGTCCTGGAAACACAAAAATCGCGTCGCGTTAATTTTACATCGAATGTAACGTCGTGACGAATTCGAAACAAACAAACAAACAAACAGGAAATAGCCACGGAAAGAGACGGAGACTGTTTTCTAAACTTAGAACTCTTTCAAATGAAGCTAAAAAAAAACAGTTGATTTGAGATCGCAAAGGTTATTCAGAAGATAATGATCAGGATAAGACTCGTGAATTTCAGTAGCTCTAACCTCCCTTAATTTAAGGGGTCGAATATTTCGTCATACCAAGAAAACTATCTTACTGCTAATTATGACATAATTTGTCACAACGATATACACTCTGACTGAATATTGTGTTTTGGCTTTATATGTGTGAATGTATGATATGTATGATGTGTGTCGTGTCTGGTGTGTTGTCTTTTGTTTTAAGACTCCGGAGGAGTCAGTCTTGGAGAAGAAATGATGTAATAATATAGATACAGAGAGAGAGAGAGAGTGAGAGAGAAACGAGTAATCAAAAGTATCAGCGTTATAAACTAACTTGTATTTGTTCAAATATATATTATAGTATTATTTCATTCTATGATCCACTCACAGATATGACGATATTTTATTCCGTCGTCACAAAGTGGACTATATCGTCATTTTATGGAAATAACTATCCGATGCAAATGTAGCTACAGGTAACCTTTCTACATTTTATGTAGATAGGCTCCTACAAAACAGCGTGTTGCGTGAAATTGTTTTCCCAACATCGGAAAAATTATGCAACTAAGAGGTGACGTATTCCCGGAAAATCCGAAAGCAACCAATATTCTTGTACACACGGTCTAGAATTACACGCGCCATTGGTAACAAACGTTCTCTGCCAAACGAACGATTGTGTCTTTCGGCCGAAGCAGAAGAAGAAGAAGAAGAAGAAGAAAGACGAAGAAACGGGAAGGCACACGCGATACGACGTGCTCGTGACTGAACAGAAGCGAAACAGAGGCGTGAGAGTTTCCATTTCCTGGCTGGCGGGAAGTTTCGCCTGGACGAGGAGCAAAGTTTTCTCAGTTCTAGCCCTTGGAACCTCTCTTTGGTTCTGCTCGAACTCCGGCAAGCCGGAAGTCAATAGGACCCTCGCCACTTTGAAATACCGTGGAAAAGTACTTGCATACGCCCCCTTCCCCCTCTTATCCCTCCCTTAGCCGCGGCATCGCTCGCAAAAGCCAGCTTTTCAGAGCGATATTGAACTTTTTATCGCGTCGAACGAGGGCCATGAAAGGTTAAAGGGAGAGCCAGACAGGAAACAAAGCGGGGGCACTCGCGATAGTCGTTCCCCCCTGCTATACTACGCGGAGATCGTTGATCGGAAAACCTGCGTTTCACGGACCAACCCGTGGAATTTGCTTCTCATTTCGAAGGTTACGATCGCAGCTTCCTGATGGCGCGTGCACCTTTAAAACAAAACCTGGCAGGAATAATGGGAATATCGGGAAAACAATTTTGGGTAGGTGAATAGCAAGGTTCATAAAAACGACCAAGTCGTATCGTTAACGACGTTAACGATACGGCTATTAAATCCGTCAGTATAATGTGTTCGAACAAATAAAGCCAACGAATCGGATAGCAGAATTACGACTGCTTTCGATAAAATTACGTCGAGTTTTGTTGAGATGAGGAGTACAGTTAGGTAGATTTTATTAGATTCGTCGTTTCGCCAATTATAATCAATTGAATCGGTTAATATAATGGTAGCCAAAGACAATTTGCCAATTATCTGTCACCCTACATCTATTGCTTTTGAGTATAATCTCGTTTTATAAAATTGTGTTAGGAAAGTGAAATTTCTACATGTGACCCTAATTTTTACGTCTACGTAAACTACGTATACATATGTATGACACACGTTCTAGATTGGCAGATCTAGTGTCACTACAATTTATGTTCATCTATGCACGATAAAATTAATTTTCACAATTCTTCTCACGAGATATTTTGCAGTATAATAACATAAAATATTCTATACAACGCAGATAATGCATTCGTAAAAAGTTTCCATAAATTTCCGAATCATTTCAAGAACAAGTTATAATAATAAATGTGAAATAATTTTCGGTATGTTCAAAAGATACTTAATTAGTAAAAGCAACAATCTATGTCAAATAACCGTTGTCGTAACTGCGACAATCGCGATAATACTACGATTAAAATCACTGGCCTAACAAATTCCGCAACTAGACAACACGATGGGAAATAATGGTGAACATAGCAGATTATATTCGCCAAGAACCATCAGTTAAGGAAATAGGCAAGGGACAACTCGTGAGATCGCTCCCAGCAAGACTACGGTCGCATGGGATTACACTTGACACGACCCTGGACTCATTGAACCACGACCAACATGATTCCGTGTCCCAAATCCTCGACGGGACTTTATAAAATGAGAGAAGATTCTAGTGGTTTGGAATCATGTCGTGCTTGATCCCGTAGGTCCATCGTGTCCAGTCTAATTTCGAGATCTCCAAAATTCATATGTGAATTATCTCCGTACTGGATGATGCATTACGGTAGAAATGGAAATTATTAATGTTTCCTTTAATTTCAATTTTGAGAACTTTTCATTTTTAAAATTAGAGTAACTTCTAATGATTAATAGCAATTTTACTTTAAAATTAAATGATATAGCTTCTAATTTATCACTGCGGACGTTTGCGCAATTTTTTGAGGAAATTTAAGGATAATAAAACCCACAGATATGCAAATACATATAAAATATTTTTAAAAAGTGCATATTATAATATTTAAAAGATGAAGCAAATTTCTGTTTAAATTCCATTTAGGTACATTTATGTTCATAAAACTACATAGTAGTCTGATTATTATTTATAACTATCTGGAGACTTTAATCGTTTTGTACAAATTAATGTTAAGTCATGGGATCATTTAAATTATCTATTAAAAATCACAAGGATAATATGTAGTATTATACATTCGTATTAATTATTTCTAATCTAAACTTGTAACTAAAAAATTTAAGTATCTGAACATAAAGAGTTCGTCAACTATGTAGTTTTATTGTTACAAATATCAATTTAATTAATCTGATCCAATCATAATACACTCTAGTGAATTATAAATAATGAAATCATTGCAGTTTCATAATTAAAAAATACAGTTATTTTTTTCTTAATAAGCAAGTATCCAGATATTTTTAAACGACAATGTACTATAAATTATTGTATTGCTCTTACTATCTCTTACTAACTAGCCATTGAGTTCACAACGTGGCTTTATTCGGCCAAAGGTACAGACCTGCACTTTTATCTTTTGTAACGATAGCATTACACGTTGGCAAAGTTACACAGCTTTAGAATCATAAATCGACATGACCTGACTGGCTATTGCCCTTTCGTGTCCCTCTCTCAGTTTCAGGATTTGTTCTATCATACCGTTTACATATTTGTTTTGCGTGTCTGTCTTCCAAAAAATTTATTTTCTTTTCGAATTTGACTCCGTGATTAATTCGATGAAAAAAAAAAAACACGAAGGCACGCGAAAATAATATATTGCTGAAGTTACTATCGTCAATTGAAATAAATCGCAGAACATTAAATTTATTATATACGATAGAGAAAAATACTTTTTTTCATTTTTATATGCGTACTATGACACTTTTTTCTCTTTTTAATTAAACCATATACGTTGATGGCAATGCTATTTGTATACTATATATATAACTTGATTAAAGAGCCTGTTAGTTTTTCAAAAAATATCTACGTTTTTCAACTATTTTATTACACTATTTAATTTTTCTGCCTTCTATATTTCTTTTTTATTGAAAAGAAAATGAGGATTTATTTTGAATATATATTTTTAACTATCCTATCTCTAACTAATAAAAAAATTAACAATTCATTATATCGCTACTCCAATTTTTCTTTCACACAACTCTCTTTAACAATAAATCCCTTTAAAACGTTTAACCTGTCGTTAGCTGAAACGAAATGCAAATAAAAATTTTAATCGTTTCTCCTATTACTATGAAAAGTTGCCACTATTTCAAAATCGATCGAGCTGATAGTGAATGTTAAATAGTTTAAATAACATCGAATTCACTGGCTAAAATTCGATTGTCCAAACGTCAAATCTAGCCCCTCGAGAAATAAAAGTTTGATAGCGGCCATAATGATCGTGTGATTCGATGGTCCACGTCTACGTCTTTTGCCCTGGTAAGAGACGTAACAGAGAACGTTATGAACGTCTGATAAAGTTATGAATTACGATGCATTGGCGTTCGAAGCTCGTCGAAGTCGTTCGTAAGGACAGGTCAATTGCTGGCACTAACTCATTCTAACGGAGACCGCGTACCATTCCCGCTGCCAATTCTACGTGAAGCGGAAATATAATGGCATCGATCTGATTCGGATCCTCGATGAGCACGGCCTCGTGCGTGGCAAACGAAACAGTTGCGAAACTGTTCAAAAATGAATTTGGAATGGATGAATCACGGGCGCACCAGCGTGAAATTTATTACGGATACATTTGTAAAGATAGAGTTGCTGTGGGAGAGATTGAAGAGAGAGTGAAATGCAAATGGATATATTCAGATCTTTGCTGGAGGTTTTAAATAGAGATCAGTTAGTTTAATGACGTGTATGTTGATTCATGGTTTTTAACACGTTCACTGCCGCACGAAAATTCAGACGTGGAACGGACCATTTAAAATTTTTTTATAAAATTTATTACATCGCTATCATCTACGGTCAATATCTGTACTTTTGTTGTAATATGTTTTTATTACTACATCTCATTTCGGCAAGTTTTAGCAATGTGACTTGGAAATTGACATGGTTTTGACGATAAATACTCTACGGAAAAGAAGAACGCGTGCATATTAAACGTAGTTAAATTATTTTTACTAAAATTTACTCTGGCAATAATAATAACAGTAATAAAAACAAAATTTTGTACGCTTTCTAATAATTATACACACGCTAGACTTCATGACCTTTTTATATTATCCAGTATAAACA